CTCACCGCCTTTAACGACTAGATCGACAGGGGCGGATCTCGGATTTGCTTTAAGGAATCACAGGTCTCGGACGCGAAGCCGACCCTCGCCCCCGCCCCCTTGGCGTAGTGCTTGGGGCCTGCTGAAGGGCGAACGATCCGTTTGGTAACTATGCCAGGCCTGAAATTGCTGGCTATATACGGGCCTGTCCAAATTCTAATTTCAAGGGAGGCTGTTGGTGTGATTTTTTGCAGAAACCCAAGGGGGTCAGGACCCCCCAAAATCCACTGTCACATATAATCGGTCTCTGTCGGTAACATATTCTAGGGACTTCTATGTAGCATGAAAATTCATGCGTTAGCACTCTATTGACCATCAGAATCGTCAATATGAATGCTAACGCATGAATTTTCGTGCTAGGTTTCGAGCGCTTGAGAACACAAGTATAAACCTCTCACAAATTAATGAGTCACAGCAAAATATCACTACACCACAGTAAAATAATACATCAAAAAAAAGATTAAGAAACAACAAATTAAGCTGTTTATCAATGTCTGTTTTTTATTGATTGCAAACGTCTTCAACAAAAATATGTCACCATAACCTCTTTTCTTGCTCTTATCTTTATGATATTATATATTTGGATCTACCGGTACAATAATAAATAATGATTTTGTCTTCCATTTAAAGAAAGACAAGAGAATTGCACTTCTTTCAGTGCCAAAATATTTCTGTTCTACCTGTACACGATACTATTTCCCATATTTTATACCACAATCTGTTAAAAAGGTGCCTTATCTAAAACTACATACATATACACGTACTGTAACTATGACCCTTAACCAGGGCCACAGATTGATTTTTCACTAAATATTTACGGATAATGTCTCTGGCTAAATGTAGTCAATCTTCTGGTGGAAAATGTGCCTATAATATCTGTCACCCTGGTAGAGGGTAAACCAACCACAGGTCTAGCCAGATCAGGCTGTATTTCAACTAGGGAGAGTGATGAGTATAGGCGTACCATGCAACCTGGTAAAAAAACTTGTGGGTTGATTTTATTCTTGTGAAAAACAGGCCTTTTTTTTCCTTGAAAGCATTAGATTTCATCTTTATTACCATGATGCAAATAAAACCTTTGATAAATGTGGTAGTTAAAGCAAAAGTAAACTTGCTAAAAAACACTACTTCACATACTCAGTAGAATGGAATGCTGATTAAAGACTTACTGACAAATGTATCTGTCCTTTTAAAGTATACCAGGAATAAAATGAATTTTTGCTTTTAGCTTTTATTTTCTAGACTAATTGATAAAATTAAAGAGAATTTTTGAAATAAATATTTTCAACAGTATCTTTATAACTGTAATTATAAATATCCAAATATCCACAGTTTCATAAAAAAGTTTTTCAATTTTCAAAAAAAAAAAGTTTTTTCAAAACTCAAAACATTATTTTTGTAAACATATAATATGTTTACAAAAATAATGTTTTGATATTATAAATTTCAAAATGCAGACACACTGAAACTATTTAAAAACCAAGCCAGGCACCATGACCTGAATGTTAACAAGTACATGGTATGGTCATATCTTGTGGCAAGAGGGTCCCTGACAGACAGACAGCTCCATTAACTTCTTTCTCTGGTCCATAAGTACTGATTTACCCACTGTTTGGATGGCATTGGAGAGCTGGTCGGGGTCTTTATTCAGGTCATAAAATTCCTCAAAATTCTGAAAAGAGGTATTTGCTCATTATAATAATGCATGCATTAATAATTCTTGGAAAATATTGTTTTTAGTGCTTAAGTCTTTTTTATTGGCTCTACAAAAGCCTCCTATATTCTTGTTCACACACATACGCACTTAAACACACATCATCAAAACAAGAAGTTTCCTATTGCAGAAAAAAAAAAAAAAAAACACTGCAATGCATAAACCCTAAAATTTAATCTGGAAGAAAAATTAAAGCAAAATGTCTTCAACAACCATATGCCGTTTGCTCTATCAGAATTACTGTCTTATCTATGATAACATAAAATGAATTACATATATTGATTAAATTATGAAAGAAAGAATAAATGATAAAATAAATATATTGATTAATAAACAAAAAAAGAAAAGCCAACTTATGAAAACAAAATTCAGGAGAAAATTAAAAAAAGAAAGTCAACTCTAAACAAGGATATTTTAATAAAATATCTTAAAAGACAACCTTGGACTCCCAGCTCACCTCAGTGTCCTCAAACACACAGTACAAGTAGTTGGTGTCTGCTGAGAGCGTCCTTACGCAGCTGTACGTGTTGTTCTTGGCATCCTCACACACACAAATTTTGTTGCAGTGCTACAATAACCACATAGAGCAAATCAGAGACCCATTGTGACAGGACTATGGTAGTCACAGGAATACAACACAATTAATTTTATTTCATGCCGGGTATAAATTCTATAAATAATGCAATATTTAGACATGAAGTCTAGTAAGATAGAAAATGGAAAATCTTTCTACTTAAAATATACAAATACGTACGCATAAATCTACTAAGATAGTATATGAAAAATCTTTCTATGAAAAATATAGAAAATGCTAGATCTAATTAATTGTGAAAAACAAACATTTCTACACACAATGCTCACTTATATAGATGCATAAAACAACGTAAACATGTATTACCCCCTGTATTACACAGTTTCACTATATGCATAAAGGTTACACAGGCTATATTAGTGATTTAAACTCATCTGAACAATGATGCTGTGCTTTAATTAATGCTTCTAAAAGATCATTTCATATTTTTGGCCCAAGATATGAAAAGGATTTTTTGCCATATGTTACTGATTAAATCTGGGGATATTTCTACTTTTCTTTTCCACTCTAAGGTTGTAATTTGTTATTCTTTCCTGGAAAAGGTCAAAGATGTAGGAAGGTGCAATTAAGCCCATTTACAGCTTTGTAAACCTCTAAAGCAAGCATGTGTACATATTTAGCCTGTTCAAGTTCAAAGTGCTATAAATCCAGGGTCCCATATGATTAGTACAGGTTAGGGTTAGCTGGAAGTTATGGAGTCAGTGAGTATAGGGGACAGATATTAATTGGGCCAATATATGAGACAAATACATGTATATGTTACCTGTACAAAAAATATGGGGAACAGATTACACCTCACTGCAGGCAACTACTAATTACCATTCCTGTCACGTCATCAACTCAAAAGATTTTACAGATTCAAATGTGATTTTCAAACATACCATCATTTCAAGTTCTATAATTTTTTGTTACAAAAATCAAACATTTTGACTGAATATAACTTAAGCTACCAACTTGAAAACCAGCAGGAATATTCTTATCAAAATTATAATTGTTAACATAGCTTATCAGTAATGTACGTCTTAATTTTACAATGTTTGTGAAATATTACAGCTCCACAGTCTTGTTCAAAATTACAGTCCTTGTTTTTTAATTCAATGTATTATACTTAGCAATCCAAATGTGAAACCAGTTAGTAATCAACTTTTTATGTCTGCCAAATGCTAAAAATGAAAAAAAGCATACACAGTGATGCAGAATCAATTAAACAACCACAAATGAAGACTTACAGACAGGTCCATGTGATCAAATTGAGGGCATTTTGGAATAATCTCGTTGTACGCCCCCTGGTGTTCAATCACAAAACTCTCTCGCCAACTGGAGGCTGGAATTGTGGCATTCTGCGCTAGAAGGTTGTGGAAAGGCATGCCGTCCATTTGTGATGGGGCAGTCTGGGCAGACAGAGCTATAAATGTTGGTGCCAAGTCGATGTTTAAAATGATTTCCTGCAATGAGATATTAATTTTGCATTTCCTGTGAGATATAAAATTACAATATATGAATAAATCCATTTCCATCAGTAATACTGTATGTTTGTATTGTATATTATTCTATATGCATGCTTTTCAATTTAGCAAAGATCAGGCCTGTAGCCAGGTGGGGTTCGGGGGGTTGAAAGCACCACCCCTTATGCTGGGAGAAGGTCCACTCTGGGTAAAATTTGATCTAGGTACATGAAGTTTTTATGGGAAAAGGTCCACTTTTTCAGAAAAAAAAGAACCTCCCTAATGAAATTGCTGGCTATACGTACGGGCCTGAAGATCTATAGGCCTACTGCAGAAGTACATGTAGGCCTACAATATTCTAACCAATATGCAGCAGCCACAATGGTCAGTGTTGCACGTAATATCACTTATCGCACAGCCTGTGCTTCAAACAAAATTTGGCCGGCTTACACTCTCGCCTGAATTTTTTATACCTTAATTTTGGTGCATTCATCATATCATTCGAAGTGCCAACCATGCATGCAATTAATTAAGTCAGCTACGTATACACTATACTCTTCTTCTACTGTACAACAATGTATGTGATAAATACAAGACCAAATTACATCTTGGCTACATTTCGTTAAAAATCTGCTCTTGTATATTGCATATACAGGGGAGGATTCATGTTGTAATTAGTAGGGCCTATACATCACCTCTCTGAGCTGACCAGCCTTGATGCCCGGTCCTCTGACCATCAGGGGTACTCGCACATCAAACTCATATGGTAGCCGCTTGT